ACATCACAGCAGAAGGCAACAGCAAACCACTGTTTGTGTTCATTAAGATACCAGTGGACAAGCTGGCTTTGAAGGAGACTTCTTCCACATCGGAAGGTTAATATTGTTTGTCACTATGCATTTTCTGCTACAAGAATGAAATGGGACAGGTGCAACAAAATGCTGCAGTGTGAAGTTGCAGCACTGAAGCTTCCACGTTACAGTAACAGGAGCCAGTGGAAGGGGGCTGTCAGAAAAAAAAAAAAAAAGACCAATCTTATTTCCTTGGAGCAAGTTACTAGTTTAGTAGATAAAGGGAATGTAGTCCTAATATATCTGGAGCTCAGCAAAGCCAAAATTGCTCATGAGATTCTCCTTAATAAAACAGTAATTTCTGGGTTGAATGATACTACTGTTAGTGGCTGGAAGGCTGCACCCAGAGTGCTTGTGAATGGCTTCAACTGGAGAGAAGTTTGAGTGGAATGCCCCAGGGTCCTGTGCTGTTCAATATTTTTATGAATGACTTAGATCAATGGTTCTCAAACATTTTGGTTTAAGGACCCTTTTACATTCTTAAAAATGATTGAGGACCCCAAAGGTTTATTGGTTTATGTGAGTTATATCTAGCAATATTTACTATATTAGAAATTAAAATTGAGAAATTTTAAAATATTTATTTGACCCTCTGAAAGGGTCTTGTGGACCCTCAGCGGCCCCCAGACTACAATTTGAGAACCATCGACTGACGTTGAGGGGAAGCTTATCCAATTTTCAGGTGGCAGATGGGAGGTGGGGCTAATAGAAAGAGAAAAGATTCAAAAAGATCTACCTAAGCTTGAGCAGGGGCTGAAATGAATAGGTTGGAAGGTAACAGATGAAATGTGAAGTTCTGCATCTGGGGAGGAAAAATGAAAGGCACAAGTCTAGCATAGGGGGAACATGGCTTGCAGTCATGCATGTGAAAGGGCTCTCAGTGTCACACATGAGCCAGAGTGTGATGCAGCTGCTAACAAAGCAGATGTGACCTTGGGGTGCTTTAACAGGAGCTGAGAGTCCAGAAAACTGGAAGCAATTCTTCCACTCTGGTTGACCCCTGTTTGGAGTACTGTACTATGTCCAGATTGGGGCACCATCATTCAAAAAGGACAGTGACAAACTGGAGCAAGTTTGGAGAAGGGTTACCAAGATGATGAGTGGTCTGGAAATGAAGCCCTATGAGGAATAGCTAAAGGATCTGGGTATATTTGGCCTACAGAAGAGATGACTGAGGAGAGAGATGATAGTTGTCTTCAAATATCAGAAGTGTTGTCACATAAAAGAGGGAGAAGACTTATTCTCTATTGCCCCAGAAGACAGGGGCAGAACCAATGGGTTAAAAATGTAAGGAAGGATGGACATCAGGAGGAACTTCCTAACTACACATTGCATGAGTTGTCCTTCTCTGGAGGTCTTCAAACAGAGACTGGATGGCCATCTGCCAGAAATGCTCTAGTGCAGTGTTTCTCAACCTTAGCAACTTTCAGATCCAGACATCTTAAAGTTACTGAGGTTGAGAAACAGGGCTCTAGTGGATCCTACACTGAGAAGGGGGCTTGGACTAAATGACCCATAAGGTCCTTCCATTTTGTCTACAGAAGCAATGACACATCATAAACACCAGGAAGGTGGTGGTAAAACCTCTTTCAAAGCACCAGCCTGTCTCAGCCAGGAGGGACTCCAGATTCGGTCTCCCCTTCCCACCAACAGGAAGTTAAGGAATTTTTCCTTTCCTTTCCTTTTGGGAGAAAATGGGCTTGATTCGTTCATGATTCGGGATCTATTCAATTCCACCGAAGACGGAAGGCATGGATGGATGGATGGATGGATGGATGGATGGCCCGCCTAGCGCTGCCTTCTGCATTGGTAGCCCGGAAGGCGGAACTAGGCGTCCGGACGCGCCGGACGCCACCCCGCTTTCTCCTCTAAGCGTCCCTTGCAATGCCTGTTTTCCTCCTAGCAAAGAGATCTAGCGGGGGGGAGGCAGGCGCCGGACCCAGGTGGCAGCAAGGCAGACTTCCCGCTCTTCGTCTGGCGTTTATCCCCCACGAAAGCGCGTGGAAGAGACGCGGCCACGGGGCGCGAGCGTGCCCAGGTGTGCCCGCTCCCCGCACGCCACGAGGCTGCGGCAGCGGTGGCAGCGGCTGCTCGCAGGCCCAGGCCGGCCGGCTGGGAACGCTGGGAGCTGTATTCCCAGAGGGTCCAGGGCGGGGAGGCTGCACCCATCCCCGCGCCAGGTTTTCCTTTCGCTCAGTGTGAAGTTGCAGCACTGAAGC